TCCTGCTGCCGCCATGGAGGGACTGCCAGATAGTTACTTCAGCTCTACAGAACAAACATAGAAATCGGTCTGTCCAAAAAGCATGTAGTCATGTCAGAATAGAGCCGAAACGTACCTAAACCTCCAGGGGGTTCTGTCTGGACTGGAAAATAACCAAGTGAAAATCTGACTGAGTGGGGTGAAAATAAATCTGTTTTATTAAAAAAGGAAAGCGTATTGACAAACATTTGTTGGCTTCTTCTAGCGGTCCAATGGGCTCACATTGTTCAGCAGATGGTGCAGAGTAGATGGTACAGATGTTATTCTGCTGCATATCTGTCATATGCACACCGGGAGGAGTACTATAGCGCTGTTATCAACACCAACTCACAGCCGTTGCGCTGGTTTAGTTGTGCAAAAATCTTCTGTCGTCTATTGTTTATATATATATATATATATATATATATATATATATATATATATATATATATATATATATATATATATATAACAGAAGAGTGTCTTCAGTCAGAGGCTTCTTCAGTTTCGCTGCAACACTGACCGCTACTGGAGATCCTTCCTGCCAACAGCCATTGTAATATACAATAACTCTTTGATGACTTGATTATTATTATTATTATTATTCTGAGCTACTACAGCAATCAATTTCCCTCTGGGATTAATAAAGTATTTTTGAATTTGAATATTATGTTTCCAAGTAGCTAAACTTTCCTGAAATCTTAAAAAGTGATCATGTCATTCCACCCTTTTTTTGAGCATCCCCAGATGAATGCCTTTATTTTTGTTTGACAAGTCATTTAACTAGAATTTTTTTAATTATTTATATTAAAAAATCTCTTAAACTGAAAGCATGAACCAGTTTGCACTGTATGAACTTGTCATACAGTAGATGGTGGACGTTTTTCATCTTCTTGATCATTTTTTCAATCTTCTAAGAACATGACTGTAACGGAATAGAAGTGATGTATCTATCTAGAGTTGTATTTTAATACACTGTAAGCATATCACTTTTTTTAAACAGAAGAATAGGCTGTTTTTATCATCAGGGAGTTTAATTAAACACTCTGTATTGACTTTGAGACAAGAAAAGAGAGAGAGATGGGATCGTTTGAGAATCTTTAATTTCTGAATTATAAATTCTAAACAATCTACCAGGACTAACTCTGTGATGGATGAAAATGGATTCGGATGTTGTGTTGGTGCGTGTGTGTGTGTGTGTGTGTCTGGTTCAGACTCTCTAGGCTGACGTCAATGAATCTGGTCGTCTTTGTTATGACTAGATATAACGAGGCTTATAAAGTGATGACATGAGCCGCTATTTTGCCGTGTACGTACCCAGTGGGGGTCTCCCAGGTAGATCAGGAAATGCCAGGTCTGGAGACCTCGGATGTACGCTGGAGCTGTCGGTGCAACGATCACAACGTTTCAAAGCCCGTCTGGAGGGTCGACCCCGGTACCGTTCGGCGGCGTCAGCAGGTGCTCTTATTTTGAAAGGACGTCGTCTGGTTGTTAAACGACGAAAATCTCCCGCTTCACAGTTCTTAATTTAACGAAGAAAACACATCTGGCCAGGCTGTGCTTTTCTTTAGGATGACGTGACTAGAACTGAAGTCAAAATTGAACTGACTTAAAATGGCGTTGCCTTGTTTTATATCTCTGAATTGTTGATAAGTTGTAGTAAAGCGGATTGGACACTTGAAGTCAACACCAGATTCTCCTGCGGCAGCCGAAAGCTCTGATTGGTTGGAACAATGTGTCATGCGTTTCTATGGAGATGAGGATCAGTCTGTCTGTGCAGTAGTCCTGTTTTCATTAAACATAAATCATGACATATTTATTTCACAGATCATTCACTTGGTTATTGTTGATCAACATCTGTTTTGCTTAATAATTTTAATCACAAATAAAGTAATTTGATTAAGTAAAGTTTCTTCTTCTCCTTCGGACTCTTCTCCTGGAATGTAAACAGTCTGAGGAACACCCGACCTTGGTTTTTCTACACGGTGTTATTGTGCACAGGGGGCAGCTGTATGGAGTTGAAAATAATGAACTTCATAACCTTACATGACTAAGACACTGTTCATTGACTGTACAACATTTTCTAGTAAAATGTTCTTTTATCCTCTATTTCCAGGTACAAACTGCTCATCATGGTTGCAGACTGAAAAGGAACGAAAAGTCATTCATAACTGTCTTTGATGTGTCAATCCCGTTTCTGTTGCTTTATCACATTGACAAGGAAGCTGAGGATTTCCTCTGGCTTGTAATCTTTATCAGAAACTCTTGTCTACATGACATAAACCTCCACAGAAGAGCAGATCAAGCTACAGGAAACTCCCTGATCATTATAAGTTAACACTGACAGAGACAGTGTGTGGGTAGCAACAGGGAAAGGCTCCAGGAAAGGTCATTAATCAGCTGTTTGATCAGTTGTCAGTGAGGAGATTCCCTATTTTAATCTCACCAATTTTACAGTGGACAATTGTACATTTTGTTTGTGTGAGTGGGTGGCACGGCCTACAGGTGTGGTAGGAAGATTAGAGAACCGAATATACCATCTCCAAAAGCCAGCAGACTTATCCTTCTTCTGTGTTTATGCCATTGTATACAGACCATCATGAAAAGCCAGCAAAATGAGCGACGCCTTAAGGTCTATCTGTACGTTTGAGGGGCTGCTGGCGTTGACCCCGTATTGTTAGGTGCTCCCTTTGTCGCCAAACTCTTCACTGTACTGAGAAGAAGAGAAGAAAAGGCCTTCTCTAACAGTCGGTCATGCCCCAGTGCTCCTGGCAACAACAGGTCCCAAGGACGCAGACCTGCCTGCCCTATATTGGCTTGGCTCTCCATTAGCGGTGGCGGCACTAGCCCCCCGTCAGCTGTCCCATTCGAGGCAGAGCCGGCCCTTTATTAAAGCTTTGAAGACCGCCAAACAAAGGGGTGTCCTATGTTTAGATGATAGAATGTAAGCAACTGGTTTTCTGCTTGGGCAACACGAGACAAAGAGCCTCCTTCAGAATACAGGGAGTACGCAATAGGAGAATGAGTGAGAAAACTGGAGAGGGAGGAAGGAAAAATGAGGGGTTCATATCACGCTGGAAAGAAACTCATGATATCCCACTGGTTCTCTTTTTTTGTCACTCATAACATGAAACATGCGTTGAGAGTATATCAGATAAACATAGCTACAGTGGGTCATGTTAATCTGTATCGGTACACTAAATAAACCTGAGCTAAAGGGTTTGTATTAAACTTTGATTCCTAACCGGTACTTAAGATTTTACCAGATTGAAGTTAATTGTAACAAAACAAATCCTAAAATATTAGCTATTGGGTATTATGTTTTAAAACCTTTCTTTTTACTTGAAATAATATAGAATATATGTTAGCATACTGTAAATAATTCATATTTACAGTCTTTATTGAGAGCTTGGATGGAGAAAAGTATCATGGCAGCATAATAAGAAACATTAAGTATAGTACACTGAATGGTAAGGGTGAGCTGCATGGTAGCAATTATTATTGGAGACTCTTAAAATTTCCCTAATAGGGCTTGTGATCACACGTGATTACGCATAGCATTCTGGGATGTGCGCAGATGTGTTGATGGCCTTACAAGTGTAAACAAATCGTGAAAACAAAGCAGATTTGGATGAAAAGAAGTGTTAAACATCATGTTAAAATCCCAAAAAGGATGCAGAATACACAGGGATACGTTGAATCAAGACATCAGGAACTGGTATATGGACAAAATCAGCATGTTTGGATGAAAGACCCAAGACTGGAGCGCCGACGACAACTTGTTGCCGCCGCAACTCTACATAATGGACAGTTTTGGCCATCTTGTTTGTGAGAGGTCGTAAATGTCCGCATGAGAGGTAAATGTTTCATTCGCTGTTTTTTCAATTAAAACAATCAAAATGGTCATCCCACAGAAGAGGTGTAGCAGGAGAAGTTGTGTTGTGTGTTAGTGTGCCTGCATCAGCCTACCGGTGTGTGTAGCCTATGTGTGCGTTGTGTGTGCATGTTGCGGTTGAAGGAAAAAAACAATGTATTAAAAAAATGTACACCATCTGTAACTTACCAGAATGAAAATACTCCAAAATGTTATGTTTGGTTGCCTTACAGCTGCTGTCCAAACGAGCCGACGAGACTTTGTTATGTTAGATACTTGGTCTTGTGGCTCCAAGCAGGAAAACGGTGAAAATTAGCCTCCTTTCCACCTTTCTTCCCCTAGCTATCATGTGTTGCACCCCACAGCACAGCAATTATTTACCATAGTTGTGTAATATAATTGATCAAATGAATAATGGATAAATTTAAGCCGCAAGAAGGAGACTGAGCAGATTGTGTACAGTAGTTACAAGCAACAAGTAAGGACTCGTGTGTCGGTGTTGATGTCATGATCACGAGCTCTATTGTGAGTGAATGTGTGACTGGTTGTCTCAATGATGGACTAGAGACATGTCCAGAGTGTCCCCCATCTCTCACCTGGTGGATGGACACATTTTAAAGGTGCTAAAGGCTTATAACATTTTACTTCATGGAATCTAAGCTTTTTTCCCACATTTTCAAAGTTGCACCCACTACAATCACTATTTGAGATGCTTTTATTCTCAATAATAGTTTGAGTTTCAGGCAAGCCACTGAACTACTATTTGAATTAGGCAAAATACATAAAACAACAAAGAACAAGTACGATTTTAGAAATTAAAGCGGAGTCCTCGTTCTAACTTTTAAACAGTGGTGCCCAATTCTGGTCCTGGATGACCACTGTCCATCATTTTTAGTTGTTTCCCAGACTCAATGGTTGGAATATATGTCTGACATGTTCTCAAATTGTACGCAAGTCTGCTAATCACTTGCTCAGTTAAATACAGCTTGTTGGAGCACAGAAACATGTAAAACATGCAGGACAGTGGCCATCAAGGAACAAGATTGGACACAAATGCTGTAGATTCTGAAATCTTGGCACAGTCCTCCATTGTTGCGCATACACCTACCTGATCATGGCTGGCTTGGAGAGTACTCCCAGTGCCGTGGAAAGTCATTTGCACAGGGGATAAGGTCAGATAGGTCACATTCTCCTTCCCACTCTGTGCATCACTGTACTGCACCTACAAGAGAAAGGAGGCGGTTTAGAAAGTTTGTCATAAGCACATGACCTCTGAGAATACCCAAAACATCTCAGGTGAGATACAAGCTTTGGAAAGTGAGGCATGAGAGCTAATCTTGCATATCTAGCTGTCACTGCAGAGCATTTGTGGATAATTATACCACAGCACACAGAAAATGACATGAAGCGGGGAATGTGTGTACTGTGTGTGGGGGCATGTGGGGTAGTGATCACATGACAAGTGACCCTTCAGAACTGATAGGTCACTTCTGCAAGCATTCTTAAACGCTGTGCAATCAGGACTGTTATGACACGATGCTCCTCTGGGACAGTCTGCTTCTGAGATGTAAGGGCATTTCCTAACATTGGCTGCTTTTCTGTCCTGCTTCTCACTGCCTCCATCCCAGTGCTCACTTGCATGTGTTTGCCTGGCCTAATTATGCCCCAGAACTGCTGCAGACATCTTAATAAATAGCACAAAGAAGGGAAAAATCCACCAAATATGAACAAATATCAGACAAAAACAGAAAAAGAATGAAACATTAGCTTTCCTTCAAGAAAATTAATAACCAGATGTCTTGAGGTATGAAACCATGCTAATATGATGCTTTACATAGATTTTTATATATTTATTATCAGGCAGGCACATCTGTAGGCCACGCATTGTTCCATGCTAATATTTGATCATCGGATCAGAGATGAGCTTTCATTTCAAGTATCTTGACATGATGGAAGTCAGAACGGAGCAAGAGATGAACTGATGGGGCTGTGGTTCATTGAGTCGAATGGAAAACATCTTGATATTGCTTCATATTGTTCCACTTCTCATCTAAGGTCATGAGATCTGAATCATGACCAAAAGTAAAAGATCCCAGATACAAGCGGATGAAACGAACATCTTCTGTAGAGTGACGCGAGCCTACTTTAGTCCGCTCTGGTGGGGAGTCTTGAACATGCAATGACAGATGTTTTTCTTTCAAACTACTCTGATGACTGGGGAGTATTTTAAAGCAATTCCCTGCTAGGACAACAAAGGGCATAGTGCTTTTCGGGGGGGGGGGGGGGGGGGGGGGGGGGGTTGCAGCCACCGTTGCAGTCCTGTCTCTGGCCCACAACAGTGGATTTAAGTTGTGTATCTGTATTTATATTGTAAAGATGTCCAGCTTTCACGGTTTGCAGCAGAATGTGAGTGTGAGATCGACAGGTGGATTGGTGCAGAGCCTGCAGTGACGGAGGCAATGTACCATTTTGTCGTGGTGAGGAGAGAGCTGAGTCCATAAGCAAAGCTCTCGATTTACCAGTTGATCTTTGTTCCTATCCTCACCTATGGCCACGAGCTTTGGGTAGTGCCTGAAAGAACAAGATTGCGGATACAAGCAGCCAAAATAAGCTTTATCCACAGGGTGGCTGGGCCCCTCCTTAGACGTAGGGTGAGAAGCTCAGTCATCTGGGGAAGAGCTCGGAATAGACCCACTGCTTTTTTTTTTTTTTACCACGACCGAATCGTTTTGTGACGTGTTTCCTGTTACTTTGGGGTGCAGCAATCTCTACCATAGAACCCAGAGCAGACCCAGATCTAGCACAGGGTAGGGCTGGGCGATATGGCCTAAAATCAATATCACGACGTATTGAGGATTTCACCTCGATAACAATAAATGGACGATAACTACGGGTATGCACACAAACAAAAGTTGTCCACTAGATGGGGCTGTCACAAGTATTATGTTGGGTCACATTTTTACGTGACTCAAGGTGGTACATAGCCTGGCAAGCCAGACTAAATAAATGTATTATTTAGTCTGACAACGCTCCATTGACGGCTCTCGGTTGTGGGGTGGGTTCTACCGTTGTCTTTCAAATGATCTCCGCATTCCACTGGACAATGAATGTGACATACTCTTGTTTCACTCTGTTGCATCATCCCACCCACCAGGCATATAGAGTGCCCTGATTGGCCCACAAAGCAGATAAAGCTCTGTGATTTGTTCACTAAGCACTATGATTGGCCCACCATTATGGACCAATCACAGCTCTTTATGTGTTTGAAACCCCTCTAGAGAGCTGTGATTGGCCAGCCAGAATGCTGTTGGGGCTGCAGAGGTTTCCAGTGGAGCATTCTTAAACCAGACTTTGCAAAGCAAGAATTTGGTCTAGTTTACTAGGCTAGGTGGTACAGCTTAACATGAACGTTGCCAACCTACACACATCTTTTCATTTTTTTATTATCAAATTTATTGTCATGGGAAAATGTATCTCAATAAGAGTCAGAAATTTCGATAACGATATATTTTCGATTTATTGCCCAGCCCTAGCATAAGGGATTATACCAGATGTGTCACACTCCGTCTGGTTCTGGAGCCACACCCAGTCTTATTAGCTGTTTAATAGGCTGTGCCAATAACACAACATAACATAATTACCTTTAAATAATAAATCCTTGCTCTTCTCTTTGTTTTCATGCAAAGAACAATATTTACATTAGAAATTTTTCATACTGAATTAAATTTATTTGTACAAAACCAACCAGGTTTGGCCCAAAGGTCGTATGTTTGACACTCCTTGATTATAATGTACATCTTCTTGCCTGGAATTGCCTGGCAAAAAGAGGTTTTCTGTCCTGGATCTGTTGGTGTGGCAACCCAATCTCAGATAAGCAATAGAAAATATGTGTTAACGGATAAGCCAAGCAGGCTACGCCACCTTTAATCAATATGATGCAGCAGCACATCTTATCTCTTTTCTTTAAGGTGAAATATAAACACCATTGATGTAATAATGTAGAACAACTTGTTAGCAGTATTTGGAATTGCACACAGTGAATATTTTGGTTTTATTCTGCATATCTATGTTGGCACTGTCAAGTTTAATCCCTCAAAACGTGCGTCATAAACGCAAGTCTGTGCACGCGTCTGTGTTCAAAATGTTGTCTTATCAATCTAAATACCTTAGTAGCTATACATGCTGGACGTGCGTGTATGCACAAGTACG